ATATATAGATATATATATATATAGATATATAGATAGATAGATAGATAGATAGATAGATAGATAGATAGATAGAGAGCGAAAGCGAGAGATAGAGAGAGATAGATAGAGATAGACAAAATATAAATAAATATATATGGTGCTATAGCAACCCAGTGTATATAGCTCCTTTCTATCTTATCAAGACACTCAAAGCTCTGTACACTACAATCTGTGCCCTCATTTACCCATTCATTCAGCACTCTACTAGATCTCTACAAAGAAAAATCAGAGCTTTATCACATTCATACACCGATTGGACACACATGGGAGGCAACGAGGGGTTCAGTGTCTTGCCCAGGGACACTTCGGCATGCGACTGCTGTTGGATTCGAACCCCCAACTCTTGTATTGGAGGACGACTGCTCTAACCACTCAGCCACAGCTGCCCATAGGTAAGCTGGTATCGCACTTATTTTTCAAGTTATCGTGTTCACAACATATACGGACGGACAAATAAACGATGAGTATTTCCAGTTCCCCCTTTTCGCTCCACGACGGGGAACAAAAACAAGTGCGCAGTAAATCGAACTCCACTTTACAGGATTCTGAGCATCAGACTAAAAGAAATTAGGACGCCATTAGAAAGATTGCAGATTTGTTTTACACACGAGTGAGTCACTCAGGATCAAAGCCAGAAGAGAAGGCAGACAGCTTCATCTGGTGATTAGAGTGGCCTTTCATGTACCGTTACTGTCCTGGTCCATTACAACAGGTTTTTTAGTAATTAATAAAAAGTGTTTGCAGTGACTCACCCAGATCACCTTGAACACTGTTGTCGTGAGACGTCCTGCTGGATGTGGTGGAATCTCCATCACTGGGCCACATCTGGCCCCTTTTGCAGACCCCGATGATGGAAGCCAGGCCCTGCTGCTTCAGACACTTCTGGGACAGCGGTGTGGGGGGGCTTCCACTGTCAAGGGAATGCTGGGAGTGCTGGGAGGGTGAGCGGCTCTTCTCACTGAACATCGGACAGGTGGTGGGGCTGGGGGACACTTGACTGGACTGGCCTGAAGAGAAGTCCTCCTCGCTGGATGTCAGGTTCTCATTAGAGCTGCAGTCTGGTGTGTAGCCTCCACTGACATCATCAAAGCTCCCAGGAGAATAGGAGCGCCTGGGCCAGGTGAGGTGAGAATCCTCCTCTATGCTGTGGTCCCTTATGTGGATGACTCGAGTGTACCCGTCTGCCATCATTCCTCCAACATACACACTGGTGTAAGGCTGACACTCCACTGGCTGCCTCTCAGACCTCCCACCTGAGGACCGAACCCCACTGTCTCTCAGGAAGTGTGAGCTGACCTCACAATCAGTTGGTGACCCATTGTAGCTGAAGTTCCCCTCGGCGGATCGGCCTTTCTGAACACCCTTGTTGATGTCCCCTAAGGCAGCTGACAGGCTCCCTGGCAGGGAGTGCAGGGACCTCTTTCGCTCCATCTGCATGGCTTGACAGCCAAGGGTGCTGATCTTGTCAGAGACCTCCCTGTCATTGACTTTGACTAACCCTTGTTCGTGATGGTACTCCAAGTTTGCATAGCAAGGTTTCTCCTGACCCTCCATCACAGATAAGCCCCTGCTATCGCCAGCTGTTTGAGAGCTGGCCCTCCTGATGCACTCAAAGTTGGACCTCAGAGCGGCCACTGACCCTGTGCCCACTGGGACGTCAGGAGACTCAGAATCGTGAAGGACAGGGGACACCCCTTCTTTCCGTTTTGAACCATCCACCACTTCATCTGGATATCTCCTTGCTGTCTTGCTGGACCCCCTCTGCTCCTCCACCGGTGCCTCATCAGTACACGACCTCAGTTTTTCAGAGTCACTGGGCAGTTCTCTGTCATTCATCTGGTTTTTGAATCCCCATCGCCGACCATCATAAGATTTCCTCTCCTTTGCAAGCAAAGTCTGCAAGTAGATCATCCGAAAGCGCTCCTTGTTTACTTCCTTCTCCAAGTGCCTGATGGATGTCTTGCATTTGTCCAGCTCCTGTTTGATTTCCTCTAAGGAGTTCAGCTCCATTTGAGGGGGTTCAGACTCAGGAAACTGGGCTCTCCATGCATCCCAAAACCCCAAAGGTTCAACCATGGTTAGCAGCTTGATAGGCACCGTTTAATCAGCTAACAACACAAACATGCTGGACACAAAAGTTCATAAGTCACAGCTTCCATGGTGCAGGAATGCTTTTACTCACAAGCAGAATAATATAATCTTACAGTGACATGGGTGATCCAGTCCCTTCAAAGAAAATCCAAGAGTTCATCCTCGCTTTAGTTTCCACTCGGCGTGTTCTCTGGAGATCCTCGTGTCTTCGTGTCTGGTGTGAAACTGCGGCGCAGCTCTGGTGCGGTTGAGCCGCAGCACCAAGAGGAGGGGCTGCGTGGATGCGACTCACATTTACGCTTTCGGATAAAAACAACTACTTTGTTGTACTTTCTGTGCGAAGCCGGAAAAAATAGATATTAACAAACGTAAAATTACACATATGTTCCACGACAGAGGAAAAGAGGATACCTTTTATGTTATAAAACGACGACTGTCCTCAAAATATCCAGTTCAGGTCAGGTGGAAACAGAAAAACGGCGTCCCGACTTTTTTTTTTATTTTAACTATCGACTTTTATCTTTTTAAGATGCAAACTATTTAAATATTTTCCTCCCTCCCACCCAGCTCCAGACATGGGGGTTCACTGCGCAGCCAGTTGTACTTTCTGTCGTCTTAAAGAAACTCAGATTGATCAAACCAAAGTTCATTTGTTTGTGGCGCTGCCTCGTGAACGTACCGCCACCCACAGGATTAATTGGTCAAGTGCTGCGTTCGAGTACAGTCTGAAAACTTTATACTGACCCGTGATTTTCACGATCTTTTCTGTTTAATGGAGCGATAGTTAAGTATACTGTATTCTGAATGTTTTATTTTAAAGGGTAATGAATATCATAATAATACATCTATTTTCACTCCGAATTCAAATCCACTGTGTGTTTTATATTAAGCCCTACACATCCAAAGCTGACTTTTACCTTTCTGCTTGTCAAGATACATCAAGAAAAAAAAAATCAAATAACGTTCTACTTGTTAATAAAATATTTTATCGTAGCCACATGCAATTACAGGTTAATATTTTTATTTTGTTTTAGATAGAATAAAAATAAGCACATTTTTATTAAAATGTTTGTGATTGATCGTCTCAGATTGCAGCTAAAAAGCTAACATTAGATATCGCATTTTTTGAACTCACCACCGAAGCTACTTCCTGTTAGCAACCAATCCGTGACGCCTAACGGTTTCTAAGGGGCTAATGACAACAGTCTTTTCTTTACCTAATACATTTTGCGTGCGAAACGGTAAAACGAGTTTTTAAAACTACAAACGTGCTTTTAAATACTTTGTTTGTTGGGGCTTTTCTAAAATATCTCAGGAGTTTCACAGGTGTGCAAGCTAAGATAACTCGACAAGTAAAAGCGCTTTTTTCGTTAGCATTAGCATAGCTGGCTAATAACCTAGCGTTAACTCGGTTATCATAGCGTTGGCATTTCTGAACTTCCAACATGAGCGAGCAGCTCAAGTTCATCGTTGAACAACTCAACAAAGACCCGTTCAAGAAAAGTTTTAACCTCATTACGTTTGACTCATTGGAACCCATGCAGCTGCTGCAGGTTTTAAATGATGTTCTGGCTGAAATAGACCCGAAGGTGAACAATTGTGACATTTTAACGAAATGTATTTATTAGTTTTTTGTTTTTTTTTAAATATTTTTCATTTTATTTAGTGTTTTTTATTTTTATTTCAGCAAGCCATGGACATCCGAGAAGAAATGCCTGAACAAACAGTGAAGAGAATGAGTTCTTTGCTGGGGATGCTGAAATACAAACCTCCTGGTAATCAGTCAGACGTGTAAGTCTCATTCATCAAACAAAATAATGAAACATTTAGTCTGTGATGCACATGCTATCTGTTGCCTTGAAATATATATATTTTTTATTTTGAATATACTTAAATGTCTAAATTCATGTTCAGGCTGCTGTTTAATGCACCATATTATATGAGATTATTGATGTTTAACATATCTTAGATCATTGTATACTGTTTCTTTTTATACTCTATATTTTTGCTCTTTTTGGGTGTAACTGGAACTGTGAGTACACAGTTTTGTTCCACCTCATGTACCACATGTGATGCGAATGACAATAGCCACCTTGAACCTTGAACTTTGATATCTTTAACCAATATTTCAGGCTTCTCAGCCACAACAAATTAACATAATTATCAGAATAGTTGCTTAATTTTTACAATTATGTTCATATGATTTTACAAATACATTTTGCTTAAATGCTGTCCTTTTTTAATAACAACACTTTTTATCAACAACTAAAATTTGAAACTGTCAACAAAAATGTTATTTTAATGTCTAAGTCTTGATCCCCCATCACAGAGCAAAAAGGGGGAATTTGAAGTATCCTCCATCCATCTGTCCATACGTCCATTCGTGTGTGTTGGCAGCATGATAACTTGAAAAATAAATATGATACCAACTTCCATTTTGGTGTTTGGCTACATCAAGGTGTAAAAAAGGTTCTTTTTGAAAATTGGGTTGCAAATTACAATAGTAGTCCAATATTGTTTATAGCAGTCTCACTGATATTTGGCAATAATGAATAGTCCCTCGTTTATCATGGGGGATCCATACCCTGAAGCACCACAATAAGTGAAAAACTGCAAAGTAGGAATAGTAGTACAAGTGATAGGGTATTTTAGTATATATATATATATATATATATATATATATATATATATATATTCATTCATTCATTCATTCATTCAACCTTTATTTAGACAGGTAAATCCCATTGAGCCTCGAGGACTCATTTACAAGAGAGACCTGGGTTTTATTTTTTGCATGATTCATTCAACCATATATATATATATGTATGTATGTGTACATATATAAACCCTTCCTACACTCTTGCAATATTCTAAACAATGTTTCTAAATGCTCTAAAAGAGCACAGAATGTCATGATTTCCCTCTCTCTGCCTGCTGCACTCTGCCACCTCCCAGACTCTTTGCCAGCACACTTCTCCTATCAGCTGATCAGCTGCAGGAGGAAGCTTCTCCTGCAGCTCGGGCTGCACACAGGTGCTAAATAATTTGAAATAATTTATTTTAAATAAAAATCCATGCCGATCGTGCAGCTCCAGGGGTTACATCCTCAGTCCCAACGAGATCCAGAAACTTGAAGGTGTTAACCTTTCCACTGCCTCATTACCAATGTATAATGGAGCCAAACTGGCTTGTCTTGATCTAAAATCTATAATCATATTTTTTATAGATTTTAGGGTGTGTCTGCACCTAGGCATATGAAAGGTTCCTCTTCATTATTCCAATCCTTCAGCGATGGGGTCACCTGCGCACCGCGTGTTAATCAATATTTCTTGTGTGTGATACAACGAACATTTCAAACTAACATTCTTTTGCTCATAATTTCTTTAGTACAGTTACAAAATCTACTCATGTGGATCCTCAAACCAAAATATTCTTCAAATACAATTTCCCAAAACATTGGTTTTTTGAACATTTCTAATGAAGACACTATCCTGTGAGATTTCTATGTTTTACACTTTGCAGGAGCAGCTTCAGACAGGGTCTGGTGAGTGGCAGCAAACCTGTGGTTCACCCAATCCTCTACTGGCTACTGCAAAGAGTCCCCGAGCTTAAGAAGAGGGCTTACCTGGCCCGTTTTCTAATGAAGATTGAAGTACCTGCTGAGTTTCTGCAGGACGATGTCATAAATGACACCTATCATCAGGTTTGTTTCTACATTTAACTAAAAGTCTGTCATTTTCTAGTTGTTAGAACCACAAATAACTTAAAAGTGATTCATGTGTTTCAACAGTATGAAGATCTAGTGGAAGGGTTTAAGACGTTCCATAAGGAGTGTGAGCATCTGAGGACTTCAGGCTTCTCTACAGCAGAAATTAGAAGGGTAGAAATCTATTAATTTCTTATTGATCACAGTTCGGTAGAAATAATTAGAGTTGGTCTTTTTTAAAAGGATCTCCGACTAGTTGGAACAATAGACCTTGTTTGATTAACAATTAATTCAGCTAAAAAAGGCAAGTCTGGTCCTCTGGATATTCAAAAAACAAAACTATGTCCAGAGGCCCAGACTT